TACTCACATTGCAATTAAATACACGTGTGTTTCGATTATATACATAGTCGTCGGAGTTCATTCAGTTCTCACATCTATTGGATAGCCCTGTGCTACTACATACTTCGACGTCCTGTGTTTCAGTGAGGTCCTGCGTACTAGTACTATCTTGTTCAAACAACAATATCGGTGAAGTCACCCCCCTGTCCACTCGGAGTGACTGCATGACGAACGATGAATTCGATTGCATTCTTATCGCCATCCAAAGAACTTGACTATTTTAGAGGTCAAAGTAATGTGAAATAATGAATTTACCTCGTATCCACGACATCACTTGTACGAGTTTTCGACAACGGATCCAGCGGACGGAACAAGACTTGCGGGGTCTTTACGTGCAACCGACTGCCTCTTCTTCTTGAATAATCGTAGCAGCTTACACATGTACAGTACATGAAAAACACCGTTACTGGGTCCGATGATCGCATCAAAACGCCCATCCATGGGTTGTTGCATTCGGCAGTGTTTGATGTTTTGATTCCAAATGTGCCTTAGCCAAATGCATTGATCTCGTATTGGAACCAACGTTGGATGCCAGGTCTCACTTCCATGAGGTACTTTGCGGCCTGTGGGAGTACCCGTTGCAGGGCAGACATGTTCTTCTTGAAATCTTCAGTCGTTCTTGACGAGGCCACCTTCATCACGCTACGTCACCCTGACCTTATCAGCCCCTCAGTTGCGGCTGCCACGTTCAATGCAACGTGAAACATACAGTATCGATGTACTGAGTTAGGAAACACCGCGGCCACACCGTCCAGTAGTCCTATAAAGAAATGTTGCATCCGTGTGACATGTCGACGTACCCTTAGGAGCCTTCATTGATTGCCATCTTGATGTCGTCGTCCATGGCCTCAATGTCGTCTTCAACCGTGGCTGTGAATACCGTATTTACCGTACATCTGTAACCCCCAAAATGTTTCCGAAATAGTTACAACTCATTGGTAAAGCTGAAATATATACCACTATTGTTTCCGCGCATTTGAATAACTATGATTGGACAAAATGTTTCGCGCGGTTTCACATTTATTCAAAGTGCACGACATACACGTCACAGGCCAAATGACTGCAGAACGACCACGTAGCCGCTACAAGACAGGGAAGCACAAGGTCATATCCGTACGCTTCAAAGTCAAAGTCATTCAAGCTTACGAGGCTGCACTTGGCCCTGCCAAGACATTCTATGCAATAGGCAAGGCCTTCGGCGTACAGACAGGCCAAGTGTCGCGTTGGGTCAAAGACAAGACCCTCATTGCCTCGCGGGCAACTGTGAACCCTTCGGCGCTTGTGATATGCAATAATACATGTCATTCAACATCAAAGTACATCATTGATTGAATGGATTGATTTTGCATTAACTAAGATCTATTGTACTCCTCAATGTGGTCCATCAGTACAGCTCTTACAAGTCCAAGGCACCTATTCGATCGATTGCGTTTCGAAGCACTGTTATCGACTCTGTAGTCTTCTACAACAATTGCAAATTTGTTCGCATACTTGGCTTTCGTGTTGACCAAACGACGGGGAAGAACGCCGACAAGGCAGAGTTGCTCCGCACCAATAATCTTGTAAACCTTGAGGGTTTCTTCGAGCCCATCAGCATTCAATCGCATGATCTCGCATCAAAACACAACCACATCGTTGCGGACTGTCACCGCAAACCTCGTGTGCAGGGCAGCTTCGAGTCCCTTCGCCGCTCGAGCAGCCAACAATGTCGACGGCCTTCAATTCCATCCTGAAGCAAATTGAAATTTGATTTTAACATGGTTTTACTGGTTAAATAATATCCAATCATCGCTAGGTAGTTACAAGTCAATGGTAAAGCTCAAATTTGCTTAATCAGATCTGACTTTTTTTACCTTGAACAAATTATTGGAAATTTCCATCGTTACAACTTAATGGTCAAAAATTGGGGTTACAGATGTACGGTAAATTCGGTAGGTACATCTCCTCGCTGGCAGCGTTGGCATGTGCGTCACCACCCTGCTTGCACGGGTTCTCCGGGTTCTTGGCGGGAACACTGCGTAGTTTGGACCGGCACTCTCTTTCCCAATGTCCTGCTTTGCCACAGTGATTGCGGTTACCCTGCCTCTTTCCCTTTGCGCGTTTTCGATGTTGTGCACTCAGAGCCCTTTCGTCTTCGCTGACTTCGTTTGGAGCTTGAATCTCTTTGCTCTCCAGTGCCTACTCAACATCGAGCAGAGTTTTCAGTACGTGGATGTTCTGTTGAACTACGGGTTTAGTATTGATCGGGTGCGTTACACTTCGTAGGCACCACGGCAGCAAGGCCAGGATCTTGACTACCACCATATCGTCCAACAACCCTCACAACCTCGAACGGTACCATCTCGCATTCCAACACATGCCGACTTCACCGTCCAGGACCTTGACCACGGTATCTTCAAACGTCGGGTTCGAAACGATGACCGCGAGAGGGCTGAGGTAGCTCGTCATACACGCAAACCGCGGGATCAGGGTCTCTAGCAAAGCCCGTGCCTCATTAATCGCAAGGTCGTGGCGCTTCAGGGTAGTCGTGAACGCTTGAATAACTTCCAGACCGGCCAACAGGTCTTGCATCTTGTTATCGCGCCCGGTGATGGGAAAATAAACCGGAGATCGGCGATACATGCAACTTCGTTCTTGATCGCGAAAAACATTTGTACCATGGTAAATGTTGATGACCACCCAGTGTCGTTCCGGAGCTTGGGGGCAAGGGTGTCAATTCATGTAATGCCGCTAGATTCTTCACCGTCAGGCACCGCAGCATTACAGCATGGATGCTGTCTAGATAGAGTGAACTCGTGGTTCTCGAGGAATTGGCGGACGGCAAGGTTAAATCGGTGGCTCACGCAGCCAACCAAGGGGACACCCATCATTATACGCGCCATGCACTGATTGACAGCGCAATTGTCTCCAACAAGAAACGTAACCGCATCCGTGGTCCTGCCATACAGCTCCAAGGATGCTGCCAGAAACTCAACGTGCTACACGGTGTCGACGTTGGGGCGAGGTTGAATGTACTTGCGAATGGTATGGTCTTCGACCGTTGACAGAGGCATGTGTTTGGTGACAGTTAGGTCCATCCATCCGTGAAGTAAGACAGCCGCGGGGGACACGTACGACTGGAAGGCGCAGCCGTCGATGACGTTGGTCCGGGACCCTTTGTAGACAGGATGACACAAGGTGAGGTGGCTCATCAAGTTAGTGAAGACATTAGAGCTTCGCTGCGAAATCAGCTTCGAGCAGAGGCGACAATCGTGTTTGTCGTCGCCTATGTCACCAAAGAAGTGTAGGAGGAGCTCGTGCGGTAATGTGATATAGTGCACTTGAACGAACAATCAGTTCACTTAGTAGTATAACGCAATGATTTATCCATACTATACGGTACTATACTCGCGCAATATCGTGTACGCGAGGTGGGTAACCGGGGTCGGGCCAAGAAACGTCTTGAACGCGGGCGTGGCTTGAATGGGGACCACAAGTTGTTCACGTTCAGAACTTCTTGGAAGGAACATAGTCGCGTGGCCAAGGCGGGGATAGGGAAATACCTGATCCAAAAGTCGACCCAGGGGTTGGCGGGGGGAAGTTGGAACATATCGCGGGTGAGGGCTTCGTGAAGAGATCGGAACTGGGAGAACCGATGGAAGGTGCCTTGGCGCGCGTAGGCCACGCCGGCTTTGCAGCCCTGAACAGCTTTTTCCCGAGATCCTTTGATGAAACTCCATGCAAAACAGCACGTAGATATTGTGGACGGCGTTGAGGTTGTTCTTGGATTGTCCCCACGTCGTGATTTCCAGGCGATTCATCAAATGACAAACGTCTCTATTCGTTGCACTGATGTAGATACGGTCGTGGGGGTTGGGTGGTATTGTTTGCACTCTTCGGGGCGACGACGTTGACACAGGCTACTGAATCAACCATGGTCTGCAAAGTGAACCAAAGCTGCCAGCATATAGGACGCGATTAACCTAATGAAATTATAATGGCCGTGACCTAACCCACCTACAGTAAACTCGCGCTAATGTGCGCGGGCTCTAAGTGCGCACCAGATGGAAATTCATGGGTCAAGGACAATTAAAATTCATTCAGAATTCGAAAAAAATTAATTGCGATTAAAACCTAAGCTCACTCATTACACTGGTGATGTAGTCGATAGATCGTCGATCGTCGCATTCGACATATTCATCTAACTCATCCTCAGTGAGTCCTCCAATGCGCGGAACTAGACTGAGGAGGTCCTCCCCCCCCCCTCGACCTCCTCAGTACAACGAAGTGACGATCTTAAATTAGCCTTACGAAAGGAATTGGCAATCGAATCGCACTATCCCATGCTTCTTTGATCAACAGAGCTGCATTCAGGACGTGCGCAGGCTTCCCATAATCGATACCAGCAACGCCAGCGCGTAAAAGTGCAGCTTGCTCCCGAATCCGAATCGCTTCTTGCTCTTCGCATGTCTTTTCATAAAAAGACAATGCGCGGGTCAACAGAAGATACCGGTATCGTTTTTTCGTAGCCGCAATCACCCCCTGAACCATAGGCTGGCTGGCGCCAAGCAGTGCAATTGGGCGGCAAAAATGCAACCCGCACGCTGTCTATTTCCATGTCACAGAAGTGACCAGGCGCATTGTCGAGAAAAAGCAATACCTTTTTCTGACGTGAATGACCCTAGACTTGGGACAAAGACCGCACGGCAACAGGCTTCGCAAACCTCTCGATCAACCCACGCTTTCTTCTGGGAGAAATAGTGCACGGGCCAGGACGTTCTGCGGACACATAGGGGTTCAGTGATGGGGATCTTGTGCGTGCCGTCCGAATTCGCACATAAAATGAGTGAGACACGATCCTTGGGGACCTTTCTACCTTGAGTCGAGACAGGGGATTCGTCGGGGGCTTCCGTGGAAGGGTGCGCTAAAAAAGTCCCGTCTCGTCCAAGTTGTAGACGCAGTGCTCAGGGTACGTGGCTACGATGTTTGAGAGCACAGCAAGGCCAGCAAGAAGCTCCAGGTCTTCTTTGTCCACTTCTCCGCCTTCCCCGTGTAAGATGGTGATACCAACTGAGCTCCTCCGGCGATAGTTTTCGAGCCAACCAGGCGAAGCTTCGAATTGGAGGGGTGGGTCGAACGAATTGGCGATTGACTTGGCTTTGTGCCGTACAACATTTGGTGGAATTGACACTTTTTGGCGACGCATGTTCATGAGCCACGCATGGAGCTGGGTTTCGAGCTCGGGGAACGCCGCCATTGCGTACCGTCGTGTGCGGTCGAGTTGGGCCTTAGACTTGCCATTGGTTCGTTCAATGATCTTGGCTTCCTTGAGACGTAGTGCTCGAATGGCGGACTCGCTGACGCCGTACTGCTTCGCGACCCGTCGATTGGAAGGCGCCGTGTTTGCGAAGTCCGGAGCAGAAAACAGACCGAGTATTTGGAGGCGCTCCGTGTCCGTGTTTCGTTTTCCTTCGCCGCGCTTCCGAGGAGCGTTGAGGGTGGACATGACCGAAAAATGTATGGTCGTGTCAACGCTGTCGATTGCCTCGGCGAACGCTGGCATGGAACCACTCGAAAGCATCCATTTTTGTCCTCTTAAATTGCTTGATTTGAATAAAATTACGTAATTTTATCCAATAATAATATATATTTTTCAAAGTGTGCGACACACCAAAGTGGCTGCAAACTCCCGCGGAGCGTGCGCATTTACAGATTACTGTATTCGTATTGTCCTTTCCCAAAATTTGACAGCATATTTTGGCCAAAAAGCCTGTCGAAAAGTCAAGTAGTGAGAGTGGTTAGGGTAACTTTTCAAAAGCACACTACAGTACTATACTATACCTCTTGGACAATACCTGGAGAATTGTCGCACAACGCTACGTTTGAGAATCCTCAAAATACCCTAAATAACACGATGAATGGCTGGGGTCCTGCAGCGAGCGCGTGGATAAGAGATAGCGCCATAAGACGCTACAGCGGGAGCCTGGTGACCCGAATTAAACGTGCATAGTGTACTTCACGCCACTAGCCTCCCGCAGCAGCGCTTTTGTGTCAGTCAGCCTACACTACACGCTCCCATAGTTGTGTGTCCTTCCAATTGATCCTGCCTGGGTCTTATTTGGAGCTGTTTATCAGATACATCCAAGTAATACCTATCACGCTAAGAAAAATCAATCGACACACACACAAGCAGAGTGGCTCAGTTCGGAGGTGGTAAATTGAGTTGTGAACCATTCATTACAATCCTCGTCACATCACAGCCAAGGCACGCAGATAGCCACTAGATTGTTGCCACAATCTAATTGGCTAAAACATACAACACACGTGCGTATCACATGCTCTACACCACACGTTAATTGGTCAATTCTCATGATGGCACATCACCAGTATTCCTTTATTCCGGATAACGAATTTTATCCGACACTCCCACTTGTAGAGTTGGGTGATACAGGTGGACAACGTGTAGTAACATGGGTAAGTCACACATGATTCTTCTTCAAGTTACGAACCCCCATGGCATGGCGAAGGAATTCGAATTGCTTGACAGGTAGTGCCTTCGTTAGAAGATCTGCGAGCATTTGCTCTGTCTTGCAGTATTGGACTTTCCTCCTGATTCTCTCTTTCTCAACTAAGTCTCGAGCAAATAGATATCTTGTCTCGATGTGCTTAGTTGCTTTGTGATTTCCAGGATTATTAACAATGTCAATAGCGGCTGTGTTATCGCACCAGATAACTATGGGGCCAGTTGGTTGAAAATCCAATCTCTATAAGAAGATGACGAACCCACTCACATTCTTCAACGCCTTTGCTTAATGCAACCAACTCAGATTTTGTAGTAGAGACTGAAACACAAGCTTGCTTGTTACTGCACCACGAGATGCAGACTCCAGCAATTATGACAAGATAACCAGTGATGGATTTACGCTCTTTTTGTTGAGTCGCGAAACTTGCGTCTGTGTAGACTTCAATGGAAACACCTGCTTGTTTTCCGTCAATTAGAAGTCCTTATGTAGACGTCTCTTTCAAGTATCTTAGTACTCTCAGGGCTGCTTCCCAATGAGAACTATTGTAACAACTCAAATATTTGCTCAATTCCCGAACTGCATTAGCTATGTCGGGACGAGTACCACGCACTAAGTATTGTAGTGATCCAACGAGTCCTCTGTAGTCAAAGGGCTGTGCTGCAATCTGAGTTGAAGTCATTTGAACTTCTGGTTTCAGTTCGACTCCCACTAGCTGTGGAGTGGTTGCTGTTCTACAGCCTTCCATCTTGTATTTCGTCAGGAGATCCTTAATGAACTTCTCTTGTGAAAGTGCCATCGTTTTCTGCGACCGATTCCTCGTTACACGAATTTTGAG